TCGGTGTCGGCCTCCGGCGATGAGGGGAGTGGTGCGACGCTGCCTTCGGCCAAATGCATCGCCGGTGGCCGACGCGACGAGCGGCAGGGCGACGTGGGCTTGCAGTCGACGTCGACAGGGGAGGAGCAGGTCGAGAAGCAGGTCGAGGACCAGCGGCCAGCAGAGGAGCAGGCAGCAATGACGCCGACCAAGGAGCAGTCGGCGACCGGGCAGTCGGCAGGGGAGCCGACCATAGGGGAGAAGTCGGCTGGGACGCCGGCTGACGAGCAGCAGGACGTCGAGGGCAGCGGCAATGATGGAGGGGACGCCGAGGAGGTCCAGCCAGGACCACGGCGTTCAGGCCGACTTCGGAGGCCGCCTGACTTCTTCGTCCCCGCTGCCTTCACCACGGTGTACGACGTGGACGATGAGGCCGACGACCTGCTGTACGACGATGCCGAGGAGGATGAAGAGTTTTGAGAGCTCGACCCCGACATGTTAGCCGACCCCGAGCACCGTTGGGACATCTCGACGATGACGGTGAAGGAGGCGTTGGCGAGCTGGAAGGGCCCGGCAGTGAAGGCCGCCATGGAGGAGGAGATTCGCAGCCTCCTCAACATGGGAACGTGGGAGTTGGTCGAACGTCCGCCGGGAGTGAACGTCATGAAGAACCGGTGGGTGTTGACGACGAAGTACCACGTCGACGACACCGTCGAGCGCGAAAAGGCGAGGCTGGTGGTGAAGGGCTTCACGCAGGTGTATGGCGCCGACTACGACGAGACGTTTGCGCCGGTGGGCAGCTACGTCACGCTGAGGATCTTCCTCAGTATCGTCGCCGTCCGCAACCTCAACCTGATGCAGCTCGACATGAAGAACGCCTTCTTGCAGAGCAAGCTCGACAGGGTGCTCTACATGTCCCAGCCAGACTACTTCAACGACGGGATCGGCCGGGTGTGCAAGCTGCTGAAGAGCCTGTACGGGCTAAAGCAGTCGCCGCTGCTGTGGTACTTGGCGCTCAATGACGTGCTGGTCGGCGCCGGGTGGAAGAAGAGCCAGGTCGACGAGGCTCTCTACTGCAAGGTCGGAGAGGACGGAGTGGCCTGCTGGGTGCTGGTCTACGTCGACGACCTACTTGCCGCCAGCAGTAGCACCGCGATGTTGAAGGAGCTGAAGGAGCTGCTGGAAGCCGCCTTCGAGCTGCGTGAGATCTCGCCGGTGCAGAAGTACCTCGGGCTGGAGATCGTCCGCGACAGGTCGGCGGGGAAGCTGTGGCTGCACCAGCAGGGCTACGCCGACAAGCTGCGTAGGCGCTTCATCGACGAGGAGCAGACCGGGCGCACCCCGAAGACGCCGGTCTCTGTCGCCGCCTACGCTGAGCTCACGTTCGATGATGAGGAGGCACAGGAGCGGCAAGAGGAGGAGTACCGGCAGAAGGTCGGCTCGCTGCAGTTCGCGGCGACGACGACGAGGCCGGACATCGCCTTCGCCTGCAGCAAGCTGGGGAGCGGTCTCATGGTGAGGAGCGACCAGCACTGGCGTGAGGTCGACCGCTGCCTCGTCTACCTCGCCAATACGCGTGACACCGCCCTGGAGTTCGGCGGTGGACCTGAGTCGCTGGACCTGGTCGGCTACGTGGACGCCGACGACGCCGGTGACAAGCAGAACAGGACGAGCACGAGTGGCTACGTGTTCGTCTATGGAGGGGCTGCAGTCTCCTGGTCGAGCCAGCGCATCAAGTGTGCGACGTTGTCGTCGACTGAGTCGGAGTACGTGGCAGCCACCGAAGCCGGCAAGGAAGGACGTCGACTTCGTTTCCTCCTTGCAGAGTTCCGGCAGCTGGATGCCGGGAAGCCGACCGTCCTTCGGGTGGACAACAAGTCGGCTATCTCAGTCGCCGAGGGCATGGGGTTGACGGGCAACCTCAAGCACATGGAGCGGCGACAGGCCTGGCTGCAGCACATGGTGAAGCGCGGGAAGTTCTCGTTGAGGTACATCCCAACCACTGAGCAGCCGGCCGACTTCCTGACGAAGGCGCTGCACTATCCGGCCTTCAACCGGTGCTCCGTCGCAATCGGCCAGGTGCGCTTGGCCGACGTGGGCGACGGGGACAACGACGTGCAGCAGTAGGTGCCATGCCCTCTTGCATGGCTTGTGCGGTGGACGACGTGCGGTGTGTTGGGTGCACGTCGACGAGCTATTCTCCGAGGAGTATTGCCGAGTGGACTTGAGGGGGACCAAGCGTGAACGCGGCAGGGGAGTGTCAACGGGAGTTGTATGTTGGCCCCGTCCACGCTTGGGCGGAGCCGACATCGTGGTCGGGTGTTAGGGGAGCAGCCGACCTGCAGCAGTGGGCGAGGTGGTCGACGAGAAGGTCGACCTGCACGGGGACCACTGCACGGGCGCCGACTTCGGGGTGGCGCCAACTTCGGGGAGGTCGACTTAAGCGTCGACCTGCGGAGGACGTCAACTTGGGAAGCCGACTTTGGTGGTCGGCTGATGTGCTGGTCGACCTGCGGGTGGTTGACTGGACCGGTGGTCGACGAAGGAGGGGTCGACGTCGAGTAGCAGGACGTCGAGCAGTCAGGACGTCGAGCAGTCGGGCGTCGAGCAGTCGGGCGTCGAGTGACATGGTCGTCGACCGAGGGGCATGGTCGACCCGGTGAGGTCGACAACGAGGTGGTCGTCGACTTGGGAGGTCGACGGACACGTACGGGAGTTGCTGGTCGATGTGGTTGCCCGGTCGACCAGGTTACCTGGGTGACGAAGTGCTGCGGAGGAGTGCGACGGTCGCCCAGGCGAAGCTGGCGAGACCGACCTTGGTGGTGGTATCACGAGGTCGTCGTGGCAGATCAGAGGTAGCCGTCAGCCCGAGGCTGACGTGGTGTGTGTGTGCTGTGCAGGTGATGAGGCTCGGCATACCAATCATCTGCACGCACCTGCAAAGCGGGTGCACTGCTGGCACACCGTCGACCTGAAGCATTGGCAAGCTGTCGACTTTGCTCTGCTGGAGCGCGGTCGACCAAGTCGTGTTGGAATGCGGTCGACCATGCTGTGCTGGCAATTGACCAACCTGAATGCTAGCTCTGATGTAGTCTTGCATTGCCAACTTCATTGTACCATTGTTGTGATCTTTTCTTAGTGAAACTCTTGCCAAATTGCCCCGTGAACTAGCAAGCAGTGTTAGCACTGGGAAAAGGTCTAAGGACCAACGAACGCAGAGATCACACGAGCACACGTGCCTAGCCAGTAGTCTAGCTCCCGTTGTAGTAGTTATCTCCGCAGCAAGCTCCTGGACCAGGCAAGCTCCTCGACCAGGCAAACTCTTAGACCAGGCAAGCTCCTGGACCACCCAAGCTTCTTGACCAGGCAAACTCGTGGACTAGGCACGCTCCTGGACCAGGCAAGCTCCTGGAATAGGCAAGCCCCTAGACCAGGCAAGCTCCTGGACCAGGCAAGCTCTTGGACCACGCAAGCTCTTGGACCAGGCAAGCTCTTGGACCAGGCAAGCTAGTGGACTAGGCAAGCTTCTGGACCAGGCAAGCTCCTGGACCAGGCAAGCTCTTGGACTAGGCAAGCTCCTGGACCAGGCAAGCTTCTAGACCAGGCAAACTCGTGGACCAGGCACGCTCCTGGACCAGACAAGCTCCTGGACCAAGCAAGCTCCTGGACTAGGCAAGCTCTTGGACCAAGCAAGCTCCTAGACCAGGCAAGCTTCTGGACCAGGCAAACTCGTGGACCAGGCACGCTCCTGAACCACGCAAGTTCCTGGACTAGGCAAGCTCCTAGACCAGGCAAGCACCTCGACCAGGCAAGCTCCAGGACCACGCAAGCTCTTGGACCACGCAAGCTCTTGGACCAGGCAAGCTCCTGGACCAGGCAAGCTCATGAACCAGGCACGCTCCTAGACTAGGCAAGCTCCTGGACCAGGCAAGCTCCTGGACCAGGCAAGCTCCTAGACTAGGCAAGCTCTTGGACTAGGCACGCTCCTAGACCAGGCAAGCTCTTGGATCAGGCAGGCTTCTGGACAAAGCAAGCTCCTGAACTAGGCACACTCCTGGACCGGGCACGCTCCTGGACCAGGCAAGCTCCTAGACCAGGCAAGCTCCAGAACCAAGCAAGCTCCTAGACCAGGCACGCTCGTGGACGAGGCATGCTCCTGAACCAAGCAAGCTCCTAGACCAAGCACGCTCCTGGACCAGGCAAGCTCCTGGACAAGGCAAGCTCCGGGACCACGCATGCTCTTGTACCAGGCACGCTCCTAGACCAGGCAAGCTCTTGCACCATGCACGCTTCTGGACCAAGCAAGCTCCTGGACTAGGCAAGCTTTTGGACCAGGCACGCTCTAGGACCAGGCAAGCTCCTGGACCAGGCAAGCTCCTGAACCAGGCATGCTCCTGGATCAAGCAAGCTCCTGGACCAGGCAAGCTCCTGGACCAGGCAAGCTCATGGACCAGGCAAGCTCCTGGACCAGGCACGCTCCTGGACCAGGCAAGCTCATGGACCAGGCAAGCTCATGGACCAGGCAAGCTCCTGGACCAGGCACGCTCGTGGACTAGGCACGCTCTTAGACCACGCAAGCTCTTGGACCAGGCAGGCTCGTGGACCAGGCACGCTCAGGGACCAGGCAAGCTCCTGGACAAGGCAAGCTCCTGGACCAGGAAGCTCCTGGACCAGGCACGCTCGTGGACCAGGCACGCTCCCGAACAAGGCGAGCTCAAGGACCACGCAAGCTCTTGGACCAGGCATGCTCCTGGACGAGGCAAGCTCTTGGACCATGCAAGCTTGTGGACCAAGCAAGCTCCTGAACCAGGCAAGCTCATGGACCACGCAAGCTCCTGGACCAGGCAAGCTCTTGGACCTAGCAAGCTCTTGGACCAGGCAAGCTCCTGGACCAGGCAAGCTCCTGGACCAGGCACGCTCGTGGACGAGGCACGTTCCTGGACCAGGCAAGCTCTTGGACCAGGCAAGCTCGTGGACCAGGCAAGCTCTTGGACCAGGCAAGCTCCAGATCAGGCAAGCACCTAGACCAGGCAAGCTCCTGGACCAGGCACGTTCCTGGACCAGGCAAGCTCCTGGACCAGGCACGTTCCTGGACCAGGCAAGTTCCTAGACCAGGCAAGCTCCTGGACCAGGCACGTTCATGGACCAGGCAAGCTCCTAGACCAGGCACGTTCCTGGACCAGGCAAGTTCCTGGACCAGGCAAGCTCCATATCAGGCAAGCTCCTAGACCAGGCAAGCTCCTAGACCAGGCACGGTCGTGGACCAGGCACGCTCCTTTCCAGGTCCACATCCACGACCATGTCCACGTCCACGTCCACGTTCACGTCCACGTCCACGACCATGTCCACTTCTACGTGCACGTGTACGTCCACGTCCATGTCCACGTCCACGTCCACGTTCACGTCCACGTCCATGTCCACGTCTTTGCCACGTTCACGTCCACGTCCACGACCATGTCCACGTCCACATTCACGTCCACGTCCACGTCCACGTCACGTCCACGTCCATGTCCACGTCCACGTCCACGTCCACGTCCACGTCCACGACCATGTCCACGTCCACGTCCACGTCCACGTCCACATCCATGTCCACGTCCCTGTCCTCCACGTCCACGACCACGTCCACGTCCACGTCAACCTCCACGTCCACGACCACGTCCACGTCCACGTCAACCTCCACGTCCACGACCACGTCCACGTCCACGTCCACGTCCACGTCCTCCACGTCCACGTCCACGTCCTCCACATCCACGTCCTCCACGTCCACGTACACGTTCACGTCCACGTCCACGTCCACGTCTACGACCACGACCACATCCACGTCCATGTCCACATCCACGTTCATGTCCACGTCCACGTCCACGTCCACGTCCACGTCCACGTCCATGTCCACGTCCACGTCCACATCCACGTCCATGTCCACGTCCACGACCACGTCCACGACCACGACCACGTCCACGTCAAGATCCACGACCATGTCTACGTCCACGTCCACGTCCACGACCATGTCCACGTCCACGTCCACGTTCACGTCCACGTCCACGTATCAATGTTCACGTCCACGTCCACGTCCACGTCCGCGTCCACGTCCAAGTCCACGTCCGCGACCACGTCCACGTCCACGTCCACGTTCACGTCCACGTTCACGTTCACGTCCACGTGCACGTGCACGTCCACGTTCACGTTCACGTCCACGTTCACGTCCACGTCCACGTCCACGTTCACGGTCCACGTCCACGTTCACGTTCACGTTCACGTTCACGTCCACGTCCACGTTCACGTCCACGTCCACGTCCACGTCCACGTCCACGTCCATGTCCACGTCCACGTCCACGTCCACGTCCACGTCCACGTCCACGACCATGTCCACGTCCACGTCCACGTCCACGTCCACGTCCACATCCATGTCCACGTCCAAGTCCTCCACGTCCACGACCACGTCCACGTCCACGTCAACCTCCACGTCCACGACCACGTCCACGTCCACGTCAACCTCCATGTCCACGACCACGTCCACGTCCACGTCCACGTCCACGTCCTCCACGTCCACGTCCACGTCCTCCACATCCACGTCCTCCACGTCCACGTACACGTTCACGTCCACGTCCACGTCCACGTCTACGACCACGACCACATCCACGTCCATGTCCACATCCACGTTCATGTCCACGTCCGCGTCCACGTCCAAGTCCACGTCCGCGACCACGTCCACGTCCACGTCCACGTTCACGTCCACGTTCACGTTCACGTCCACGTGCACGTGCACGTCCACGTTCACGTTCACGTCCACGTTCACGTCCACGTCCACGTCCACGTTCACGTCCACGTCCACGTTCACGTTCACGTTCACGTTCACGTTCACGTCCACGTCCACGTTCACGTCCACGTCCACGTCCACGTCCACGTCCACGTCCATGTCCACGTCCACGTCCACGTCCACGTCCACGTCCACGTCCACGACCATGTCCACGTCCACGTCCACGTCCACGTCCACGTCCACATCCATGTCCACGTCCAAGTCCTCCACGTCCACGACCACGTCCACGTCCACGTCAACCTCCACGTCCACGACCACGTCCACGTCCACGTCAACCTCCATGTCCACGACCACGTCCACGTCCACGTCCACGTCCACGTCCTCCACGTCCACGTCCACGTCCTCCACATCCACGTCCTCCACGTCCACGTACACGTTCACGTCCACGTCCACGTCCACGTCTACGACCACGACCACATCCACGTCCATGTCCACATCCACGTTCATGTCCACGTCCACGTCCACGTCCACGTCCACGTCCATGTCCACGTCCACGTCCACGTCCACGTCCATGTCCACGTCCACGACCACGTCCACGACCACGACCACGTCCACGTCAAGGTCCACGACCATGTCTACGTCCACGTCCACGTCCACGACCATGTCCACGTCCACGTCCACGTTCACGTCCACGTCCACGTATCAATGTTCACGTCCACGTCCACGTCCGCGTCCACGTCCACGTCCACGTCCGCGACCACGTCCACGTCCACTTCCACGTTCACGTCCACGTTCACGTTCACAGTCCACGTGCACGTGCACGTCCACGTTCACGTTCACAGTCCACGTCCACGGTCCACGTTCACGTCCACGTCCACGTTCACGGTCACGTTCACGTCCACGTCCACGTCCACGTTCACGTTCACGTCCACGTCCACCTGCACGTCCACGTCCACGTCCACGTCCACGTCCACGTCCACGTCCACGACCACGTCCACGTCCACGTCCACGTCCATGTCCCACGACCACGTCCATGTCCACGTCCACGTATCAATGTCCACGTCCACGTCCACGTCCACAACCACGTCACGACCACGTCAACGCCCACGTCCACGTCCACGTCCACGTCCACGCCCACGTCAACGCCCACGTCCACGTCCACGTCCACGTCCACGTCCATGTCCACGACCACGTCCACGTCCACGTCCACGTCCATGTCCACGTCCACGTCCACGTCAACGTCCACGTCCACGTCCATGTCCACGTCCACGACCACGTCCACGACCCACGACCACGTCCACGTCAAGGTCCACGACCATGTCTACGTCCACGTCCACGTCCACGACCATGTCCACGTCCACGTCCACGTCCACGTCCACGTCCACGTATCAATGTTCACGTCCACGTCCACGTCCACGTCCGCGTCCATGTCCACGTCCACGTCCACGTCCACGTTCACGTCCACGTTCACAGTTCACGTCCACGTGCACGTCACGTCCACGTTCACGTTCACGTCCACGTTCATGTCCACGTCCACGTTCACGATCACGTTCACGTTCACGTTCACGTCCACATTCACGTCCACGTTCACGTCCACGTCCACGTTCACGTCCACGTCCACGTTCACGTTCACGTTCACGTCCACGTGCACGTCCACGTCCACGACCACGTCCACGTCCACGTCCACGACCACGTCCACGTCCGCGTCCACGTAGCAATGTTCACGTCCACGTCCACGTCCCCGTGCACGTTCACGTCCACGTCCACGTCCACGTCCACGTCCACGTCCGCGTCCACGTCCGCGTCCACGTCCGCGTCCACGTCCGCGTCCACGTCCGCGTCCACGTCAGTCCACGTCCAAGTCCTCCACGTCCAAGTCCTCCACGTCCACGACCACGTCCACGTCCCGTCCACGACCACGTCCACGACCACGTCCACGTCC